GTACCTTCAACAGTCACACAATCCTCTCTTCATTACAAAGAGAATCTCTTAAAATATGCTTAAGTAATGGGATTTAAGAAACCCTAAAAAATTAAGTTAGTTGTCACTATTCGTACAGTACGATTCTAGTTCATAGAGTACGATTAGTTCAAAACTAGTCCTATCTAGTACAATGTAAACAATCATTCAAATGAACTATTTAATTAATTTAAACACATTGTACAATACGATCCAAAGATCATACAGTATGATTTATTTAATTTCCTTTATTCATATAAGATGATTCCTAGAACGACTGAAAATCATCTTTGTTAATTATCTTGTACTTCTCTCATCATATAATATTGTTAGTTGATTTCAAGAAGGTCATCCAGTACGATATTAATATTGTACGATACAATTAATTCAAAAATCATGGTTTCTTTGGTAAGATATTTGGGACGACCAAATTTTGTTTCTACTAATCCTTTTGTATGGTTAATATTATACAATATGATTAGATATCATTAATTAAACCCTGATTTGATTGACTAATCACGGGAGTTAATTTTAGCAAAAATTTAAATATTGATACAATACGATTCACGTTATATAGTATGATTAATTCAAAAATCAAATTTTAAAATCTTACTTAAATTAATTTAGCAGATAGGGTTTTTAGATCATAACAAATTGTGCAATACGATTATTTCACATAAACTAAAATTTTAATTAGTTGTTATGCCCACTCTTTATATACTGATTGTACAATATGATTGTAAGCCATATAATATGATTATTACAATAAAATTTAACTTTTAAAATTCATATCACTCCTCCTATGTGTGTGTGCACAATCACCCAATTGCATACACTCTTATGTGGCTAGACTCAAGAAATAATAAAAAAAAAAGTAAAAGTACATACTTTGTTACTTGTTATTCTTATTCTACCCATTCTTAAACATTCAATAGCCATGAGCAATGTATAGGGGTGTCAATTTTGGTCAACGGGTCGAACCCGACTTAACTTGGTTGTAAACGGGTTGACCTTAACCTGAACCAATTTTATAAACGGGTCAGGATTGTCAACCCAAACCCAACCTGCGTGGGTTATGGGTTGACCCGACACGACACGGCAACCCGTTATACTTTTTTTTTTAAAAAAAATTCAGGTATAATAAATGGTGGGCGAGCGTGCCGGATTGGGCGAGGCGGCGGGTTGCCAGGTCAATCCCTCAAGGTGCCTTGTGCAGACTTGCAGCTTGATTGGGTCGAGGCGGGTGTGCTGGATTGGGTCAAGACGTGTAGTCAAGGGCTCAGCCGCTTGAGGTAGCGGTGCAGCGTGACAAGTTTGGCTGGCTGGATCGCTAGAGTCCAGAGTCCGGACGACATAATTTGACATTGACGCGAGTCTCAAGTGACACCTGACGCAGCGTTGACCCGAGTCTCGAGTGATGCCTAACAAGTCCAATCTCGCTGAGCGGCTAAGTCCAGAGTCCGGCGCGATGCTGTGTTGGTTCACTCGAGGCGAAAAAAATAAAATGGGTAGAGCAATCTGGGTCAATATCGGGTCAATCTTGGGTTGTCGGGTTAACCCGAACCCGACCCATTTTTTCAAACAGGTCAAAAATCCAAACTCGAATCCAGCCCGTTTCACAAACGAGTTGACCAGAACCCGGATTTTTCCTGGTCGGGTCCAAGCCTGGTTTCGGGTCGTGTCAAAAATTGACACCCCTAGCTTTGTATGTCTTATCTACAATGTTAGTGTTCACAGAAAAAAGAAACATGAAAAGTATTTAGTGAGAAAAGTAACAATTTAATCAAAAATATTTATCATCATCAAAATCATATACTAGGGTCCCTTGATTGCAACATATATATCAAAGAAAATTTAAGCATCATTTATGGGAGATAGAGCCTTAAATATTTTTATAATTCAAAATTGCACTCCACAATAGCCTTAATCGGTTAGCTTATGCCTGAGGCTTTTCGAGCAATTTGGTGGCCATTTATAGGCTTTCTTGATTGCATTATTTCCATAGGTTAAGTTTAGAGGTCGTATCTTGAATGAAAGTTAAAACTCTTTGGCTTGGTAGTTCAAGATTTTTTGGGAGTATAGCCTCAATACCATGCAAGAACATGAAAGGGTGTGTGCTTTATGGTAGTTGAAAGGGCTGTTCTAAGGGACCAGAGTACTAAAGGAAGTAGTTCATCCAACTTCCCTTTATCACCCTTGATCTTTTCACAAGGAGATTGAGTTTGAGCATATTGGCAGCTTTGACCTATCCATTAGTTTGAGGGTGATGAACAAATTCAAACTTGTGGTAGATTCCTTGGATGTCAAAATTTTTTTGAGATTTTTATTGGATAATTATTGTACACTTTTTATAATAATTATGAAAGGGACTATGTGTTAACATATGATGTTTGCCTAGATAAAATTTTAAATTACACCTAAAGTCATAAGAGTGAGTGCTTTGGCTTTAATTCACTTGGTAAAGTAGTCAATCATGACTAGAATGAATCATCTTTGTCCCAGTGACAGTGGTAATGGGCCTAGAAATTAAATTCCCCATATGGCAAATGGTTAGGTAGTCGTTATTGAATATAGCTTGCGAGAAAGTTACAACTACATTAGAGCAATTTTTTTGTATTGATTTCATTATTTGGAAAATTATTTGCCATCCTTTCTTCGAGTTGCCTAGAAATACCCTTATATAAGGTTCTGGTGGGCAATTGTACATCAGTTAGAATGGATTTCACACTCGCTCGAATGAATTTTATCTAGTGAAGCTTTCTTTTGGTATTCACAGACACATTTGAGGTTGAGTGATGAGGTAGACCTCTTGAATTTGTGATTTCCTAGTACTAGGTATTTAGTGGCATCACCTTGAATCGTTGGGGGTTGTTGACTCCTAGATTGACTAAACCATTTTTAAGGTAGTTAATTTAAGGGTCTATCCAACTCATGAGATGTGGAATTGGAAAGTTGGCTTATATTTGTACTACTCCTTTTTCCATAATAGTGTATATGGAGACACATATGGTTTGTCTTCCATTAATGCTTCCTTGCATAGAAAAAAAATTAGTGAGTTGATTATATTCCCTAGGGATTTGGGTAATTTAAAAATATTGAAGAAGGTTGATTGTAGTCTTGACATTGAACAAATACCTAAAGAGCACTTCGTATCAGACTTTCATATTTTCCATTCACCTGGTTCACCATAAGTTGGAAGTTTGAATAGACTTCTATGTGGGTCACACCCAGTTCAGAGGCCAATTAGATTCTTATGAGTAAAGATTCATATTTAGCTTGATTATTAGTGACTATGAATTCAAACCTAACATACTTCATGACAGTGATTCTTGTGGGACTTTTTAGGACGATGCCCACACCAACCCTGTGTTCACCTGATATGTCATCCACATATAATGTCCTATAATAATGGGTTATATTTGGATTTGCATCTTGGCTTACATAGTATATGAGAAACTCGGCAAGTGCTTTGGGCCTTAATGGTTGTCCTTGGAAGGTATGTGATGGAGAGCTCACATAGTTCGAAAAACTATTTCAATAGTTAGTAGGAGTGATTAAGTTTGGTCAGAAAGGTTTTAAGAGGGTGGTCGATTATCAGCCGAATAGGTTATACTTGGAAGTAGGCGCAATCATCTAACTACATTATCGAGTGCCCATTCAAGCTTTTCCATGATGGGATACTTTTGCTCTGCTCCTCGGAGCGTGAGACTAATGTAATAGATATGTCATTCCTTTTTTTTTCCTTCTCTGATGAGTATGAAACTGATAGCAACTTCAGCAACTTTGAGGATAGTAGCACCTTTTTGCCTGGTCAAGGGAATTGGCGGGTTTGTGATAAAGTAAGGAGTTCCTTTAATTATTGGAAAGTGACTTTACAATCCTTTCCCCAAGAGAATTTTCTTGCACTATAAGAGTTTTGAGCAAAGGGTTGTATATCTCTCCTAGTCGAGAAAATTAATGGTTGAGTTTGATGATTTAGCTAATGAATTGCAAGACTTCATTGGTGATTCTAGGCATCTTTATTTTGAGTATAATTCTTACCTTATCGGGGTTGACCCTAAATTTTTGAGTTAAAAACTTAGGAATTTCCTTGTGCCTATTTCAAAGGTGTACTTCATACCTTGGATATAAAAAAATTTAGATAGATAAAATTTTGAATTTCATATAATCTTCAGATAAAAAAATCATTACTAAAATATAATAATATAATATAGAATTATATATATATATATATATATAAAAGTTTATTCATGATAATCAAATAAATAAATAAATTTGATTCGATGTGTTATTTATAAATTCATATTTCATCTTTCAATCTCATCTACTTTATAGTGTAGAGTTTGAAGATCAATAACAATCTTATCACATTATTTTGAATTTTTTTTACTTTTTTTTTTTTCATGTTTTTATACTTTATTAGATTTGATTTATATTAAGAAAGATAGATGTAGACCTAAAAAGATTTGGTAAGAAAATATTTGAAATGATAAGTCTTTATTAGATTTAAATAAGAATTTGACTTTTAACATGACAGAATGGAGAAAAAAGATTCATGTAGCCGATCCCACGTAGTGGGACAAAGACTTGATGTTGTTATTGTTAAAGTATTCTTCATGCTTTGATCATCAAATATTGAAGAGTTTTAACAATTATAATTTTATCTTCAATCATATTAACAACACTTTATTTTTTGCATTCGAAAAAAATATTTAAATAAATTTGATTATTTTAATCATTATGAACACTGAAAAATTAAAATCTTCACTCTTGATAAAATGTTGAGATAATTTGTCATATTGAAAATAAATATTAATTTATATAAGTCAAATAGGACAATCATTATTATTTTTCAAAAAAACTTATTTTTGAAATCAAGCAATGATCCGAGCTTGATTTGACTATTTATATTGGGACTGTATTTTAATTAACTCTTGTAGAAGTACAATTAATTCAAATAATCATAGATGGCAAATACATGCCTTTGCTTAGGTTCACTAAAACATCATCATCTCTTGCTTCCTCTCAATGCACTATTTCTCGGTAACGCTTTCCTCCCTTCTTTTCTAAACTCGAAATCAATTCGCCATGGCGGCCTCCTCCGCCTCGGTCTTCCTTCCACTCTATCTATACCCGTCCCTCCGCCGGAACCCTTACCCTCACCGACACTCGCCCTTCCTTTCGCGTATAAAGTCTTCTTGTTTGATCACCGTCTCCTCCCTCGGCAACAGCGGCGACCCCGGTGGCAGTGAAAGCGGCGGCTCGTGGGTCAGCCCTAACTGGCTGAGCTCCCTCGCGCGCTCTCTCTCCGCAAAAGGTGACGATTCGGGCATCCCGGTGGCAAATGCTCGGCTTGAGGATGTCTCCGACCTCCTCGGTGGCGCACTCTTCCTCCCGCTTTACAAGTGGATGCTCGAGTACGGTCCTGTCTTCCGCTTGGCTGCGGGTCCCCGCGATTTCGTCATCGTCAGTGACCCTGCTACCGCGAAGCACGTGCTGCGGAGCTACGGAAGCAAGTATGCCAAGGGCCTCGTCTCCGAGGTCTCGCAGTTCCTCTTCGGTTCAGGCTTTGCTATTGCCGAAGGACAGCTCTGGACGGTAAACTTTAAGGATTTTACAATCTGCATTGCCAATTAAATGTGTAAACGGACCAGGAGGAGATGAATTGGAGCGGAGGATTTGGTACGTTTGTTATGGCATAGGTGTAGCCTTCCTGATTAGGCGTTTCTATTGTTATGTTGTGGAGCCTAATATTTTTTGCGCCACAAAGAAGTCACTATACAGACTTAATTACCGGTCGTTTTGAAAATGTTAGTGTAGTTTTGACTATCGTAAGTTTTTCGTTGTGAGGAGCTTAAAATTTCATTTTACTTTTAGCTACCTTTTTAAATTATATCAAAATAATCAGAGTTGCAATATAATCACAATAAAATCTACAAGGTCATTATTAGGATATAGTCATCAATTGGATGAATTTGTGTAAAAACTTCATGTGTATTTTTACATGTTCTTCTTCTTTTATGTATTGGTGATATAATTAGGTTTGCCGGTGATATAATTAGGTTTTCCAAGTTCCCAACATCTATGGAGGTGCTTGATCGGATTATTTGGTAAACTGATTTGATTTGCATTGCTCTAATTGCATGGGCTTGAAAGAAGGTTCAGTTTGTTGATAATTTTATGTAGAGAATCAATCCTTTTGCACTTCATGACTTGTTTGTCTTCCTTTTCCCTAGGATAAATTCATTAGTGATTTCATGATTAGGCCCTTTGAACTTTTGTTATGTTATAAATCATAAAGTCTTTTAAGCACATATACAAGAAAATGACATGATTATCAATTTTTTGGAAATGCTGCAACATTTGAGAAAAGCTAGTTGAACTCCACTCCTAATGATAGTTAATTATATAATTACTATTATGCCAATCAATTCTTTCACCTCATTCAAATGTTTTGTCCAAAAGAATTCATCCCATTTAGTTTTCTTGAAGTATTTTACTTAGTACTCTGTTGAGATCTATGTGTGAATGGAGAATAATCTCACATTAGAAACAACAACATCAAGCCTTTGTCCCATTACGTGGGGTTGGCTACATGAATCTTTTTTCTCAATTGTGTCCTATTAAAAGTCAAATTCTCATTTAAATCTAATAAAGAAAGATCATTTCTAATATTTTTTAGCCAAGTCTTTTTAGGTCTATCTCTACCTTTCTTAATATAAGTCAAATCTAATACCTCTACTTTCCTAATCGGGTCATTGGAAGGCTGACGTTTTATGTGACCAAACAATCTAAGGCGATTCTCTCTAATCTTATGTTCCACTGGAGCTACTCCAACATTTTCATGTATATGCTCATTTTGTATCCTATCTCTAAGGGTAAAGCCACTCATCCACCCGAGCATCCTCGTTTCTACAACACTTAACATAGTATTCTGCTTCTCTTTTAATGGCCAACATTTGGCACCATAAAACATTGCAGGTCTCACCACCATCTTATAGAATTTTTCCTTAAGTTTGAGGGGAACTTTTCCATCACACAACAAGCCTGATACATTCCTCCACTTCAACCTTCCAACATGAATTCTGCTGATAATATTCCCATTAAATTCACTATTACTTTGAACAATAGATCCAAGATATCTAAACGTGTACTCTTATTAATGACTTGATCGTCCAAAGTCACAATCCTCGCACTATGTCTACTATTACTAAAATTATGCTCTATATATTCAGTTTTTGTTCTACTTAAGCAAAAACCTTAAGACTCTAAGGTTGATCTCTATAATTTCAGCTTACCTTCGACTCCCTCTCTAGTCTTATCAACAAGAAGAATATCATCAGCAAAAAGCATACACCAAGGTACATCGCAAATGTCTAGTGAGAACATCCATGACTAAAGCAAAAAGATATGGGCTAAAGGATGATCCTTGATGTAATCCGATCGAAATAGAAAAAACATTTGGTCAAACCACCTTGTGTTTGAACACAAGTAATAGCTCCCGCATACATATTATTTGAATATAAGTATTATTAACTCATTCCTTTTCAAGAACTCTCCATAACACTTTTCTTGAAATTTTATCATATGCTTTCTCTAAATCAATAAATATCATATGTGGATCCTTCTTATTATCTCTATATATCTCCATTAAACCTTCCAATAAATGTAAGGTTTCCATAGTAGACCTACCCGACATGAATCCAAATTGATTTTGAGAAACATTAGTATCACGCTGCAACTTACGCTCCATAACTCGCTCTCATTGTTTTAAATATAACACATTAACTTAATTCCTTTATAATTTACACAATTTTGTGCATCACCTTTATTTTTAAAAATAGAAATCAACACACTCATTCTTCACTCATTTGACATCTTTTTTGTCTTCAAATTAGTATTAAAAAGTTTAGTAAGCCAAGAAATTTCTTTATCTTCTAAGCATTTCCACACCTCTATTAGAATATCATCAGGTCCAACAGCTTTTCCACACTTCATTTCTTTTTAAAGCCTCTCTAACTTTAGTTTTACTAATACGCCGATAAAAACAAAAATCTTTATTTTCATTTAGGGTGCTAAGTTCACTAAATTCAATCATATTCTCACAATATTCATTAAAAAGTTTAGCAAAATATCTCATTCACCTTTGTTGAATATCATCTTCTAAGAAAAATATTTTTTAGTCTTCATCCTTAATACACTTTACTTGAATTAAATCCTTACAATATTCTGTTTGTTTGACTAATTTATATATATATCTTTCTCCCTCCTTAGTATCTAATCTATTATATAAATCATTAAAAGCTAAGATTTTTGCATCGTATAATGCTTTCTTAGATTCCTTATGTGCATCTTTATATTTTTTCCAATGATAAAAATTTTACATCTAAACTAATTTTTATAACAAATCTTCTTATTTTTACTTTTCTTTCACATTTGGGTTTCACTATCAACCATTTTTACTATTAAGAACTTTTCCTTTTGATACGCCAAGCACATCTTTTATAATATTTTTAATATCACTAGTCATTTTTTTTCATATAATATTAGCATCCTCATGTAGAGAGAAATTTTTAAGAGTTAAAATCTTACTCTCAAAAATATTTTTATTAATATTTTATAAATGCTCCCATCTAATTCAAGAATATCACTTTACTTTATTTTTTATTTTTTATCCATTCATCTTAAAATTCAAAACTAATAATCGATGTTGGGTACATAAACTTTCACTCGGAATAACTTTGCAATCTAAACGATTGAATTTTCTTATAAGAAAATAATCAATTTGAGATTTACATATCCATTCTTATATTTAATATAATGCTCATCTCTTTTCTTAAATAAGGTATTAGTAATTAAAAAATTATAAGCTAAAGAAGAATCTAATATAATCTTACATCCTTCATTAGTCGTTTCAAACCCATGACTACCACGAATGCTTTTAAAATTATCTACCTCTCTACCAAAATGTTCATTTAAATCACCTCATATAAAAACTCTTTCTTCAAGAGGTATCTTTTGTATTAATTATTCTAAGTCATTCCAAAATTTTAATTTTGCACACAAATCTAAACCTAAAATTTGTATACAAATTTAAACCTACTTATGGAGCATAAACACTTATAACATTAATAATTTTATTATCAACAACAATCTTTTAAGCATAATTCTATCTCTAATTATATTAATTTTTATAACATCATCATTTAAACTCTTATCTATAATCACACATACATTATTTCTAGTACATCTCCTACCCAAATGCTTGAAATTCTAAAGTATCAATCTCCTTAGCCTTCTCTTCATCCCATTTAGTTTTCTGAATACATAAAATATTTATCTTCATATGAATCATAATGTTTATTAATTCCATTAATTTTCTTGTAAGAAAACTTATATTCCAAGTTCCTATTCTAATTTTAGTTTCATGGACTATCTTCATTGACCGCATCCGTCCTTGATGTGGGAACCCTTGCCTATTTAACATTGCTCCCGGGCCTCGGTGTAGCGACCCTAGCACACTTGTCATTGTATTCAAACCATAAAGCGCATCGCTTCTAGGGAACGCCCTAGCATTAATAGAATGTATTAAAACATTCATGTCATCTAAGAAGTGCAATAAAATTTTAGCTCTTAATATATTTGCAATGACATTTACCGAATTGTTTAAGCTTTACAACTTATGGGTCTTCATCCACTAGTTTGTTGGGCTCAATTTGATCTCTTAGTTTTTACCCTTCTAAAATTGGGCAATGACTATAATATATTGTGAAAGTCATAATAGGTTGTTAGACCTAAATAATTGTTCAAAGGCTAACCAAGAGGGCGGGTGAATTAGTTATTTAAAAATTTCTTTGAAATTTTAGAAAAGTGTTTTTATAATTTTTAAGCATAATAAAATTTTATCAAAATAAAATTTTTAACCACAAAATTAACTTGCAGAAAATAAAAACAATAAAAAAGTAAAGACAAAAAAATACAAAAAAATATAATAGTTCAGTCCAACAAGGCCTACGCCCACTCCTGGAAGACTCCCTTTTCGAGTATTGCATTATACCAAAGTGACTTTTCTTTTGCTCCCACAGGAAAGCGGAGAAGCCCTTACAATAACCTCTCTTCCACCAAACCTCGGTGCGGCAGAGAACCGTCGTTCTTTCTCACCCTCCTGGTGATGGCAGAGTACCGACGTCCTTTCACACCCTCCTAGAGTCGGCAGAGTACCGTCATCTTTTCACACCCTCCTGATGCGGCAGAGTACCGGCGTCCTTTCACACCCTCCTAGTGTCGGCAGAGTACCGTCATCCTTTCACACCCTCCTGGTATTAGCATAGTATCGACGCTCCTTTGACAATCTTTTTTCAAGAGTCTTCAAGAAAGTAGGGAAGAACTTTAAAGAACAAGCAAGAGATCCTCACCGTTGGGTAACCTTGTGAATCCCCTCACAAATCCCTCTTAGGAAATCTCTCTCTCAAATCTCCAGACGCTCTCCCAATTACTCTCTAAGTACACTCTCAAAAGAAATTCACAGTAGGAGTTCTTGGGCAGTCAAGTTTTAGGACCTTATATAGAAAAGACAAGAAAATCCGTCTCGAAAATTA